ATATATATTCCAAATTAAACACTGCAAAACAAAGAAACACAACAATGATCAAGAATGGTGTATTCCACGACAGCTAAGAAGGGCTGATACTAATATACATACTACTATCATTCATCACATGAGTAGTCAAGGGACTGAAGGGCTTTCTTCAAAGAAATGAACAAAGTGACTCAAAAATTTATAGGAAAATGGAAAGGACCTAGAATAGTCACAACAATTTTGAGAAAGAGAACAAGAACCAGAGCTGAAGGGCTCAAACTATTCAATTTCAAAAAGCTACAAATGTATTGAGACAGTGTGGTAAGGATAGAGACCAAGTCCAGACATAGGCCAGACATGTACGGCCAATCCATCTTCAACTGAGGTGCCAAGGTAATTTAACAGTGAAAGGATCTTTTCAACAAATGAAGCTTAAAAAGATGTAAAATAAAACAAAATAAATGCCAAACCTGGACCCTTACCTCACTCCATATATAAAAATTAAGTCAAAGTAGATCACAGACCTAAACGTATGGGGAAAACTATAAAACTTCTATAAGAACAGAAGAACATTTTTACAACCTTAAGTTAGACCAAGATTTCTTAGACAAAATGCAAAAAAGCAGGAACCATAAATTAAGCACTGATTGATTTTATCAAAATTTAAAACTCTTGTTCTTCAAAAGACACTGTAAAGAAATAAAAAGAAACTTCAGACTAGCAGAGAATATGTGCGGGACACATTATCTGATAAAGGATTTGTACCCAGAATACATAAGGAGCTCCTACAACTCAATTATAAGACGACCAACCAAATTTTTAAAAAGTTGGATAAAAGATTTAAACAAATTATTTCAATGATATGTATGGCTACATTTTTAAAGAAAGACTAGCAAAGATATAGAACTAGAACTCTCACAAAACCCTGGTAAGGATGCAAAATGGTACAGCCACTTTGGAAAATAGTTTGCTAGCTTCTTATAAAATTAAACTTAAGTTACCATATGACTCAGCAGTTCTACTCTTAGGTAGTTACCTAAGAGAAACGAAAGCATGTGTCCACACAAAAACTTGCACAGGAATGTTCCTAGCCACTTTATTCTTAACAGCACTCAATGAAAACAACCCAAATGTTCATCAAGTGGTAAATGGATAAAGAAATCATGGTATAATTACACAATGAAATACTACTAAGCACTAAAAAGGAACCAACCAGTGATATGCTATGTGAAAGAAGTTAGACATAAAAAAACTACACAATATATGATTCCATTTATTTGACATTCTAAAGAAAAACTATAGGGACAAATAGATCAATGGTTATCAGGGCTAGGGGGTAGAAGCAGGAGGAGGGGGCTGATTGGATAAAGGCGAAAGGAAACTTTTTGGGGTAATGGAAATATTCTCTCTAGATCCTGGTGCTAGTTATACCACTATATTAAATACTCACCAACACTCATCGGACTGTACACTTAAAAAGGGTGAATGTTATTGCATACAAAATATAACTCAATAAACCTAATTTTAAAAACTACTCAAGGGAGATATCTTGATACTTTAGGACCCCTTAAATAAATGCCAATTTTAAAAATGTAATTAATCATTTATTCTTTATATTTACTACAAACATTAAGCATGTTACTTTCTCACTAAAGTGAAAAATCTTGGCTTACACTCTTGTACTTATTTCTCCACTCAACTTGCTTATTCTTATATCCACTACTTTAGGCCCCTTCTCGTCTTTTCAATGTTGTTTTAGTGTAGAAATATTTTAAGTAGAAAAAGATGAGTACTCAGTACTGGAATGCTACCACAGAAAAACTTGAACTATATTTTATTACATATAAATTGTTCCTCAATAATATTGTTTTTCAAAACTGAAGAGGGTAATTTACTAAAAATGTATAGTCTATTATTTTTTTTTTCTAATTTTATGAGCATTCATTAAGAACTCATCCAAGCCTGACTGGCGTGGCTCAGTGGTTGACGACCTAGGAACCAGGAGGTCACAGTTCAATTCCCGGTCAGGGCACATGCCCGGGTTGCAGGCTCGATCCCCAGTGTGGGGCATGCAGCTGATCAATGATTCTCTCTCATTACTCAGAAGTTTGTGGGGTTTTTTAAAGACTAGTTTATTGGTCTTTACACAGGAAGAGAGAGAGAGAAACATCAACGTAAGAGCGAAACATCAGTGATGAGAAAGAATCATCGCTCGGCTGTGTCCTGCACACCCCCTACCGGGGATGGAGCCCACAACCCAGGCATGTGCCCTGACCAGAATCAAACCTGCTACCTTTCGGTGCATGGAACAAGGCTCCAACTAACTGACCGGCCAATGCTTTTTCTTTTTTAAATCCTTACCTGAGGATATGTTCTTGTTGATTTGAGAGAGCAAGAGGAAGAGAGAGAATGAGAGAAAAACCATCGATGCGACAGAGAAACATCAATCAGTTGCCTCCCTGAAGCGCCCCAAGCAGGCATTGAACCCACAACCTGGGTATGTGCCCTCACCTGGAATCAAACCCGAGCCTTTTGGTATAAACGGGATGATACTCCAACCAACTGAGCTACACTGGCCAGGGCAGAGTCAGAAGTTTTAATTTTCTATCCATAATGTCAAAGAGAAGAAAAATAATAGAGGAAAGCATTTAAAAAACATTCGGTGAGTCTAAAGATGAATGCAGAGGGACAGGTAGCGCTATAGACTCTGATGATGACAGTGGAGTCTATTCTGTAAGAACACATTTCTGAGGACAGGATGCATGGCGTTAGCATTCAGCAGGAAGGACTTCCTTACTCATTGTTTTGCAACAAGAACCTGGACCGTTGTTTAGTTAAATGGACATGTAACAATATTCTTATGTGATGCTCTGGCCTCTAATATATATATATACTCATCCAAGCCCGGCTGGTGTGGCTCAGTGGTTGAGTGTTGATCCATGAACCAAGAGGTGATGGGTTTGATTCCCAGTCAGGGAATATGGCTGGGTTGTGGGCTCAATCCCCAGTAGGGGGCATGCAGGAGCCAGCCGACTGATGTTTCTGTCTCTCTATTCCTCTTCCTTCCTCTCTCTAAAAATCAATAAAGCCTTGCTCTGGACAGAAAATGCATAGCTAGTTTGATACACCTAAGGTGTCATGCCATCATAACAACAAACATGCATTCCGTTACAGACCTGTTTCAGATGCCACTAAACCTCAGAATTTAGTGGGAAAAGGGAGTATGACTACAAAGAAAAGGCATTTTGTGACAAATAGCCTCTTACCACCTCTTACATAGGCATGTATACACTCTGCATAATAAATGATCAAAACATTGGCTAAACCAAAAAAAATCTCTGGACATGGTCTTACATTTATAACTGAGTGTATGTGAGTGGAATAGAATATACCAAAATGGAACATATCTGGGAAACTAGTATGGTGTCAGTCACAATCCCTGCCATGTCCTCTAGTCTAAAAGCTCTCAGACCACCCTAACTTCCTGAACAATTTAAATTCCATCAATGACAATGCATCTTTAAGAGGCTGCT